TGATTCTAAACCCTGTCACAATTCTCCCCGTGTTGTAGTTTTTTGTTAAAGGCACTAATAATTGGACTTTCGCATTTGCGCAATAAGCAGGAATTTGCCAAAAGTGCAGTTTTCGACACCGAGTGGGTCATTTCATTTCATTTACGCATTGAGGTATGTATATTTTGAAACGCACTAGCAGATATACTATCATATCAGTATTTTCTGTGTTCTTTTCCCGGACTACGCGACACATTATTTGGAGGCCCGCGTTGGTAATGGTGGACAGATGGGAAACAGATGTCACAAAGCGAGCGATCAAAGGCCCCCACATGATTCTACCTCGTAAATACACACACTACCTATACGGGTGCTTATGGTGCAAGTAGGCAACAGCTATATCCACCCGATCCTTTCAGCAACAGCCTGGTCAATGTACGCCCCGTGACGTATGTGAACACGTGCACTGACAATGCGCAACAATGACTGATCACGTGATCTACTCGTATCGCCACGTATCGATAGCGTCACCGGACCGATGTCACGTATTCAATACGATGGGAGCATTGGTAAATTATGATAAAGACATAACAAAACGGACGTTGTTCGTAATTTCAATTGAGACAACGACCACACGACGTGTTCATTATATACGTATCAATGTCGGCGTGCATGGATACTGCTTTCCGTTCAAACGTACATACACCCTACACAAATACAATGTATACACAATTTATGTTACATTAAAATATCAGCACACTTATTCATGGCTGTTGTGTATCTGAATATTCTAATTATTCAATGTTCTGGTCGTTAGAATGACGTTTTAACACACATGACCAAGAAAAGCTAATTTTACATTTCATTTTTGAAATACACATTTGAAATTTTTGCAATGTACATTTCGAATTGTTCATATTCAATGAAGGCTCATACGCTCTGATATCGAAAATGCGAAATACGTAATTGTTTTAAACATGCTAACAAATTAAATTACATTTATGACGACTTGCATATTTGTCATTTTTGGCACATTTCAAAAATTCCGAAAGTGAACCATTCAAGTTCTTAGCGCCATCAAATCATGTTTCAAAAATACTGAACGTGCTATTAAAAAAAATCACTATTTCAGATGAGCAAGTATTAATGTAGCTATTTCAAACGTTCCAGACATTTAGAATTGTTTCCTAATTTTTAGATACATGTTTGATTTGCATTTATTTCTCAAACGTGCTCTGCTATATACAAATATTTATATTTAATAGATTACTTATTTGATCCAAAATGAAAAACGTGCATCTTACTCCGCCATGTTGGCTATACATGTGCTTTTTTCTGTTTTTTTTTTTTTTTTTTTTTAATTGTCATTTTTAGTTCTTGGATAATAGCAGCTCATATACCAATGACGTCATACAAATGAGAGATGCAACAAAACAAATTTAAATTTTTGTAAATAACAATTTATGGCATGTAGGCATGTACTAGACACATGATACTAACTTACTCTAATGATCCGTCTCGGAATCTGTAGTCGGTCTCCGGCCAGATCATCAGTTTGCCTGTCATCCTATCTACGGTAAAAACTACAGTACATGTATATGCCTACACTCTTCTAGAATAAAATGTTTCAATTTACAACTTTAGTAGAAGTAGGCCGGCTCACCAGTACCTTTCAAGTTGCCGGAGTGTTCTCTAGCAAAGGTTGGGTACCCAACCTCGAAAATGGGTTTTAATTTCACCCTAAGGTGCTGTGTTGAATTTTATTGTTATTCGTGCGTAACCGTCTAGATTATGTTTCGTGTATACAACACATCCTCGAATGTATACTACATTGTGAGTTTTCTGTGAGGTCGCCTTTTAACCCAAACTCGGCGTTTGTCACCTTTCACAAGATTTTGTTTTCTATTTTTTTTTATTTTGATTAAGTTATTCCCATGTTGTTCAAAATTAATAATATAAATTACAAACAAAAAATAAATAAAAATGTAAAAAACAAGAGTCAGTCAGACACATTGTACAAATCACGTGACGTACCATTCTTCCAAGACATATCGCGAATTTTTTTGCGCACACGAAATACTAATTAAAAAAAATACCAACATCATTGGAGTTGGTCTTACAAAGATTTGAAATATGAGATTTATTTCTTTACTGCGAAAAAGTTTTCAAGGACGTATTTATAAGTCTCTGCATTTCTTCTTTATTAAATGCCTTATGTTGCATACACATACCAAATATTCCATTTTGAAATGCCATGTTACATGTAATGAATGATTAGCTTATTTTTTATATTTATTGTATATTTATTTAGTTAAAAA